CCAACCACCTAACCCAACCGCCCAGCCACCCAACCACCCGACCACTCAACAACCCCATGTTTTTGACTCATTGTGTCCGTCTCTTATCATACGTATTGTGTTGTCGTCATCTTTCGCAGTGTCGTCGGCTAGAAATAAAGACTGTTTGTAATTGTCAGGTTCACTTATTCAACCTTGCGACACAACATGGCCGACGTTGTTGTTGTTGTGAAAGAGGCTGTGGATGGAAAGGAAATTGTCATGAGGGAGACAGTGTGTGAGCGCGATACCGAAAACGAAAGAGACTTTGAATACTGGGAAGGGGTTGTCGCCACGAAAACACGTGTGTACTACGCGTTCATCGATGACACCCTCGCTTTGAGGGTCGTGGCGGGGCTGGGGTACGACGACCATGATTGCCTTGATGAGGTTGTAATGCACGCAAAAAAACTTTCGCATGTCGTTCCTGACACCTGCGAACCCCCCGACTTCGATATGATTGGTCATTTGCTAAGGTGCATCGTGTCAGTCATTGCGGTCGAGCATGTGGAAAGGTTAGCACCCAACGCATGGTATTTCTCCAAACTCGACAGGCCGCTGCAACGCCGTACTTTTCTCCACGGAGATGTGCGCACTGTGTTGCCAATTGACGGTTGCCGACAACAGTACCAAAGTGTCAACGAACCATCATCCCGGTCGTCTCATGCTTAGTCTGAAACAGGTGGGTTGACTCACAAAATCGTAAAGGTTTTTAACATTCGACAGTGTTCGAGACAGCGACTACCGGCTCATCCCATATATATATTTAAAGCGTGTTTCCCCTCCCCATACGGTACATGCAGAATATCATGTTTGCGTTATTCGTTGCTCGATCATTAGGTTTATAACTTACGGTGTCGGTTTCTGTGAATTGCAACACTTTTTGAACGCCATACGAAAGAAGCGACGATGCATTGCGCGCCAATGATTGTCCGATGTTACCACACCACAAAACTGACAGGCGGCGACACCTTATACTATTACGAATCAATGACTCCCGTAACAGATTCTGTCGGTGATGCAGCGGGATACCGCAATGAATACAAGAAGGTGGATCGTCATTTCGTTGTCAACGTGGAGGAGGAATGAGTCGTTAGACTCACTACACAAACTTATATTCGCGACCACATCATCGAACACGTTCGTGTCCTAATGTCTAAGCCAACCACGTACTTCAGTACCTTTGTTCTCAAGCCGGCCGACGGTGATTTCATGTATGATATCGTATTCCCCCTTGTGCATCGTATACTATACACACACTACGGGACGGTTGTTCGGGACGGCGTCTGGCGCCTAGTCGTGTCACCGCCCTTTTATGTCTCCAATGGCGACGATTTCTCTGCCATGTTTTATCCTTGCAGTGCGACCCAACGATGAGTATCATTCGTTACATTTTTTCTATGTTTCTTCATTGTTGGAGAGAGAGAAAATGATGGTTTCAATGATTGTACATTTTGTTTATACATATGCAAGCCCTATCTTCCATGTGTTTCTTATATGTTTTCAGTATTTTTTTTTTTTGCCTGCTTTGCATTTTGAAATTTGTTTTCCTTTTCGTTATGCTCGTAATGTTCTGTTTTGTAGATTTCAAAAAATTCACACATAAGCGACAGAACAATAGTCACCCTTTCCCATAAATGGACCGTCGACGACGCAAGGCTGGCGTACGGGCCGACGCAGTAGTATTTGGAAATGGGACAGATAATGATCGTTCCCACGACGAGGAGCTGACCGTCGCCGAGATTAGGAGCCGGTGGCCAGGACCCGCAGCGCTTTTGGAGGAGGCTGTGACTTTTGCCGGTCCGGAGGAGCATCTGCAACAGTGCATGAATCTGCTTATTGGTCGTGCAAATCTCGAACCAAAGCAGAATCGTTACAATGGATATGTCGCCTTTTCTCGGCTGTGCGGGTTCGTCGTTTAACGACAGAGATTGCCAGATGAGTTCGAAACCGCAATGCGGGAACGATGGTCAGATACAATTATACGAGGTTTTGAACTACGACAATGTGATCCTCCTAAAAATGCGCGCCCACGTCGACGTGCACGGCGGTAAATGCTTCACGAGAGATAGATAGATAGATAGATAATAGATACATAGATACATAGATAGATAGATAGATAGATAGATAGATAGATAGATAGATAGATAGAGAGAGAGAGAGCAGTGTGAGTACGTTTGTCACTCCGACTGTGTGTTTGCCTTGAGTGTGTGTGCGCGATCGTAAACTTAAGCGTGGGGGTTACTTTTTGTGTGCCCCGTAACGGCCCGTGCTTGTTCGACAGGCCATCAGGCCCGGTACTTACCTATTGTCGTGACTTGCAGGGATTGCATTATGTAAAATTTGGTTTCCCTACTGTACATCATCTTCTTCTTCTTATAATCCTCGATCTCTCATTTGAAGTTCATTTATTTCTTTTTGCAATTATATATCATTTTACCATTGGCAATGGAGTCTGAGCGATTCTAATCCTCGCTCTCGCCACTCAAGTTCATTCATTTACTGTTGCAACTGGATGTCATTGCAATATTGGATCAACGTGAAAATCTGAATTGGTTCGGCTATATAATGTGCGATCCAACTATTGCCTAAGTGCGTAAGCATGTGAAGTATGGATGTATGTGTAACTCGACATTGGTCCAATAATATCTTATACGTACAGGAGGGAAAAAAAAAAAAAAAAAAAAAAAACACAAGACATGAGATACCATCAGATGTGTGAGAAGAAAAAAAAATAATAATAAATATATATATATATATATATATATATATACAGGGTCACCAGCCCGTACGTACAGAGGTCCCGGGGCTGGCCTCCGTACGTGCGGGCGTTCGGGGTCCCGTACGGGGTCCGAACCCGACGGCGTTTGGCCCCCCCCAGAAATTATTTCGGGGCCTAAAAATAATTATGTTTTTCTGAATTGTTTTTTGTGAGTTCTCTATGACATGAGGTACATGCCTGTACATTTTCAAGTCATTTTGATAAGCCAAATAATAATTAAAAATCGCCAAAGATGGCGGTGTCAAAACGTGCTCGCCCACATATTTTTTCACTTTTTACTTTTTGTTTTCACTTATGTTCGGGGTCCAAACAATTTTATTATTTTTTGAAACTTTTTTAGTGGGTTTTGTATTATTTGAAGTACACATCTGTAAATTTTCAGGGCATTTAGCTATGCCAAAAAAAAAAAAAAAAAATCGCCAGAGATGGCGGTGTCGAAAACATGCTCGCGCACTCACTAAATTTAATTCTCTTTTTATTTTNAGATGGCGGTGTCGAAAACATGCTCGCGCACTCACTAAATTTAATTCTCTTTTTATTTTTATTTATTTTTATTATTAGTATTTGTTTTTCATATTTTATTTTTATTTCAAATTTGCCAAGGAATTCGGATGTAATGCTCAGGCAAATCTTGTTTACTTTATTTTGCTCCATAACACATCTTTTTTTCAGATTTTTTTGATGACTTGTTTTTTTTTTTTTTTTTTTTTTTAGGTTCGCGTTCGGCCTGAACGGTCGAAGGCATCCCCAAGGGGTCCCATACGTTCGGGCGTTCGGGTTCGGGCGTTCGTCCTGTCCCGAACGCCGGTTACCCTGTATATATGTATATATATATATCGTCACAAACAGAACTGCCCGGTAAAACCGTAGGCAGAGAGAGAGAAGAGGACAAGAAACAAGGGGCTGTGACAAACTGTTTCGTCGGAGTTTCACCGACTCATCAGGAGGCTGAACCCTGAACAGTCTGCAGAATCCCCTCACTGATTACACTGTAAACGATAATCTACCTTAACCAAAATCAAAGTAGACTATCACTCACCCACACCAGATGGAAAACTCTACAGACTGTCGGTTCACACCCGATCACAAGTCAGCAAAATATCCACGAAACAAAGATATATATATATATATATATATCACTTGGTTGTCTGACGATTTTTTTCGGCGCTCACACACAAACATTCTCAAACGCGCCCACACATGCATAAGAACAGGGGGAGACGATTTTGTTATTTAAACCACCTAACCACCCAGACAATATAAAACACGCCCACACATGCATAACAAGAGGGGGAGAGGTGACAGAGTCAAAACTGCAAACAGACAAGGATAAGCAGTGGAATTCAACCATGCACACATGGGGGAGGTCACACAATGACTCTCACTCTCCGACAGACTCCCAACAAACAATCACAATAAAGAACCTCAGCAAAATCACAATTGATATGATGCTGATGATGAGCCAACTCGAACGAATGTCATAACACTGTTTGTTACAGTCCCTTCGTCCTCAATCGATTTCCCTCATTCTACTAATAGAGTACAGTACTCTAACCTACACGTAGGCCAGACTGAGTAACCGACCAATACCGTTGCAGTTTCGCTCTCTCGGCCTCTACCGAACCCGACTATAGGCTATAGGACCGTCCATCAGCTTTGGCCATTAGGGCCTGTCTGTCTTAGGGGTAGTCCGGGCCTGTTATTCGCCGTAAGTGTACGTATAGGAAATTCGAAATACTGCTGGGCCTATATTTCCCATATTTACAGATGTGGCCCTCACGAATTTTCCTCACAGGTTGGTCTCATGGTTACGCCCGAGTCGAACGAAATTACAAATCTAACCCTACGGGGTAGTATACAGCCTCGCCATCAGTCTTCGCAGTCAGACTGAACAAATATATATATATATATATACAATCAACACGTAAAACTAAAAAGCCAACAAACATAAAAGTCGCATGTACAAGATACTACGACATAACATAATGTCAGTCGTCGAACAACTCGACATCATCTGCGTCCGATAGAGAATCGCATGATCGATCGGACACGGCATCCACCGGTACAGGCAACCCATCCCCGTCGCCAATGATGAAAACATCGCCATCCCTCACAACGTCGGGATCCGCACCTGAAGCAACGTCGTCCTCGTCACGGGCAATGGTATCCTCGCCTCTTCAAAAAAGATCGCGAGGCAGAGGAGGTGTCGAGGACCCGACCTCGCCTGACACATCACAGTCGTCGTACTCGAGGAGGTTCGAGCCCAATTTGAAACACATTTTCAACCGAAGATGAACGTGGACAGCCGATCCATCCACGAATCGGTAGGTGGCCGATTGTGACGGTAATGGCTCGGCCTTGGACGAATCGAAGTCCCAGAAGGCCTGCCGACACGATACTCCAAGGGATCCTGCCATGCATGATTGTTCCATCGAATGACTGCAATCGCCAAACGCAGCTCATACGACTTCTCGAAGTGCAAGGCCTTCTTCGCGTAAATGATGATTGTGCCCTGGAAGGTCTCAACCGTCGACGTGTGACGAAACTCCGTGTAGTACGAGCAAACGGTCGTGCTGCAATGTCTGCCCAACGTCTGGCGAATGATGTCGTACACGGGGTCGTCGTGCGTGTACAGAGGCAGCCGAGATGGGCCACCCGCCTTTGAGCATAGAAGCTCTCTGTCTGCAACGCACCTGGAGTGGTCCCCGGCCCAATGGTCGGCGATCATCATGACATCATTGTGCAGAGTGACAAAGTCGCCGCCCTCATCTCTACAAAGCTGGGAAGCACGAAGAAACCAATGCCCCACCTCATGCATATGTAACTCAGTCACACCATCTGCATCCACGACCAAGGATTTGTTGTTTTTCATCGTGCCGTACGGGTACATTTTGCTCATCACAAGAGCAACGAAGTCGCTCTTCTTCAATCGTTCTTCTTTTGTCGTCAAAGACCCTGGTCCAAAACGGTCCGTCAAGGCATCCAACAACTCCTGCTTCGTGAACTGCATAAACTGAGATTCCGACATGCACTGATGAGGGTTGTTCAATTTCTTCGGCACCTTCAGTGTCACGACTTTTCTAAGTGCCTTGCGAATGTTTTTTACCTTATGATGGCAATCCTTCTGCCATTCAATACCCAGGCGCTCCAACTGTGGACCCAATGCAGCACAATCGTCCGAGACAACACACCGGATCTTCAACCCCCTCGACAACAAGCCTCTCAACAGGCGCACAACAGCAGGAACCTCAAGTTGGTTCGACGCCTTTCCCTCATTTTTTGGCCGAAGAGTGTGAACACCCACCACAAGACGAGTATCACACTCAATCGCGGTAACAGTGCAATGCTGCGCAGACCTGGCCGAGTCGTAGCGACCGTCAACCATCCAAGTGACGGGTCTCCCTAATCGCATAACCGTGTCAATGGCCAAGTCGCAATACCGCACGCTCTGCCTGACAACCTTTGCATTGCAACCCTCATGCACATTCGGCTCACCGCGCATGCAACTGTAAAAAGTGGGTTTGTGCACAGGTGCCACCCCAAACGCGATGCAGAAGTCGTTGAGGACGGTATATGTCGTACCCGCAGTGACGGTCGCATGGAACAACTGTTGCTGAAGTCTGCAAGAGTACACAGCTCCCCCAACCAGTGCATTGTGCCATGTCCAATGACACGACTTCTTACAAGCGAGCGAAATGCGACAAATCAGTCCAGGATAACCGACATAGGACACATCCACAGCACAACCGCCCCCGTGGCGCGGTGTCGGGCGCATCGGTCCGGCACCGCGCGCGGCAGCGCGGGACCCTCTCGACCGCGTCACGCAGGAGTTGGACCAACCTTGCCGCGAACACACAAATGGAGCTTCCTAAGGCCGCTCCGGCCGAGTGCGCCATCCATACCTCTCGCGAGCGCCTACGACAGGATAGGGTCTACGCGAGGCACAACTTACCTCCACCTTACGGGAGTTGTCACCTCCCTTCGGTGGGCGTATCCCCGCTGAGCTACCAGTCCACAGTACGAAAGCTACTCGGTTGCAATTCCAGAGGTGGACCAGCCGAGGGCGTTTCTCGTTCGCTGTAGCATAAAGGGTACGCGCGGTAATACGCCTATCGGACCCGCACGCGAACCGACATCTTGGGGGGCTGAAGTCCCAAGCGCGGCCCGACGTCGGTCGACTAGGACGCATCCCACACACCACGCGCACACCACTCTACGAACACAAAAACAAACATACGCGCACGCACACATTGCACAAACAACACAACCCGAACAACGTGATAACGCTCCTAGCCCCTTCAGTAGCCCTCCCATAACTTCCCCACGCAGAAATCGGATCGGCGTCGCGCGCGAGACTCGGTATAAAACCGCGCGGACGCAGGGCCTACTCATACCGACTAGCAATGTAATCGTACGCAGACAGTCGCAATAATGGCGTACTATGTAGTACCCATACTCGCGCGGCCTTCGTTAATTTCGAGGGTCGCGTTTGACACTCAAGTGTCGGCTGACACGCGCCTTGAGGGTTAATCTCTCGACGCTGGACAATTGTCATGCGCGGTTGAAGACCACACACCCTCTTCTGCACTCTGTGCACTCTGTGCAGAGTGGGTGGTACACAGGTCCATACCTGTGGTGGCAGTCGCTTCTTACTGCCCTCGAGAGGAGTCTCACTCCGGGCCTGGGCGAAAGTCAAGGGGTTTGACTTTGACGGCTGCCACGGACTACAATGTCTAACCATACAAACTCTAAAAAGCAAGGGTAAAAAGGGAACCTCCCCTCCCTCTCGAGACATAATCCAGTTAACCCTTATTCACACTCACAGTAGGCCTCTCAAATACTAAGGGCACTTATAAATACGTAAGGGTAGATTATATAGGACGATCACTTCTCACAGTCATAGTGAGGCTCCTCTCAGCCATATATGTATGAAATCGCAGGCAATCACATCCAGAGTCCGAACCACAACCATACCTGCAATCACATCAAAGATTCAACCAGAAGTCCACGCACTACACGGGGTCAACTTCAACCATTCCTCGCACTCATACCCCTCGCTTTAGTCATACAAGCCTCACTCGTGCAACTCTAAAATAAATACTCAGTACTTTTGTTGGATGATCATTCAATAAAGTCCGGGTGAAAACACAACAAAACAGTTCAATCACAAGGCTAAAGCCTTTAGTTTGAGTGGCAAGAGCGAAATGGAGTTGAATCGTAAACCGACGAATCGGCAACCGGCCTGTTATCAGTGATAACAGAAGATGATCCTTGTAGGATTGATTTGAATCTAGTCCAGTTCCTGAATCAAACGGTCCAGAGGACCTGTAGCACAAGACAGACCGATTCCCAAGCTAAACTCATAAGTGTATGGAGAATACAACTCCATAATACATTCTCACCCAAGATCTTTCTAATTGACTAAGCCTGAATCTACCTTTAAGCAGTGTCCAAAGCAAAGGTAGACCCCGACATAATCTCCCCTATACAGAGTGGATCGCCAGAATCGCCACCTGTTAAAATATAATCTATCTCCTTTAAACTAAGAAAATTTCGGCAGCTCTTCCCGTAGGAAAAATGTCTTTTCAGATTTTATATCAGCCCAAATATGAAACCAGAAATAGTCTTTGACTTTCCAAAGTCCAAATTTGTCCAACTCCCTGAATTAGCAAAAATTTGGGCAGCACTCCATTTAGAAAAGGAAACTTTCCAGATTTTTACTAAGTCATAAATGAACTTTAGACAAGCTGAACTTTGAAAGGTCAAAATTTGACTAACTCCTTGGATTGGCAGAAATTTTGGCAGCGTTTCCCGTAGAGGAAGTGGCTTGCCAAAATTTATACAAAGCCAAGTACAACAAAAGATCTCAGAAAATGCGAGAATTGATCTAAGTAATAAAACTTAGCTCAGAAAAATGCAAAAATTGAAACTAACTCCTATCGCTCTAGCACGTGGCGAGCAACTACAGCAACTACCTGTCAAACTGAAACTCACACCAAGTAGTAGCCTCACTCAGTCACATGCAGGCCAACGCACAAAAGTAAGTACTCTCGCCACCCCAAGTCAAACTTTACAAACAATAGTTCGTAATCTCTCGATGCTTTATTCCCTTATACCCAGCTTACATAGGGCATAGAGTCAAGCCGTCCAATCTTATGGAACCTGCCTGACTCAGCCGTTGAGTATATACGAACAGGTTGCACAACTACTTCTCTCTTCCTTTTGGGCATATGACTAAGTCGTTCATCTTAGAACAAGGCTCATCCACCCCGAACTGTTTAATACCCAAATTATATATACCTCTCTGAGCTTGGTGTTCCAAAGCTGGGCATAGGACTGAGCCGTTCATCTTATAACATGGCCCAGCCTGCCCAAGGTTACCTTCAGTTATACTCTTAGTTATACTCTCTTAACTTCATGATAAGCTATAGCCAGGCCGTCCAATCTTATGGAACCCATGCCTGGCTAGCCTGTTCATAAGTAGGATACTATAAAATATAGCCAAAGTTTAACCTTTTGGGTTCCAACATGTGCGAGGCATTGGGCCAGACCGTCCAATCTTATGGAACATATCTGGTCCTCTGCCAGGTTCGTTTCTCTCTGATCCCACTATGTGCGGCATGAGTCCAAGGCCGTCCAATCTTATGGACATGCCCTGCCCTCAGCGAGAATTATCCCCTCAGAATAAAACAGGAAGGGCCTGAGCCATCCAATCTTATGGACTTGCTCAGGCCTCCTCGATCAAAAACAAAAGAAACAGAACAAACCCCAATCAAACATGGCAACCAAACCCTCCAATCTTATGGTACAGGTTTGGCTCTGAAAAGTCAGCCACAGTCAAACCCTCACAATTCAGAGCAATTAGACCGTCCAATCTTATGGAACTAGTCTGACTCTCCATGCAATTCAAAAATAAACACAGCGGTCAGGCCGTCCAATCTTATGGAACTGGTCTGACCCCATAAGACCCTATCAGCCTCAGGCAAAACCACCTTTCACCCACCCTTCCCCCAGATGCAACCCCTTGTGTTCACAATCTGCGTCCAGGCAATCAACAAACTGAAACTGCAATTGCACACTCATTCCTTTATTTAGTCTGAATTACGACATGTCAGTCAAACCAAAGGTTAAATAGGGGTGCATACAGTATACTCAGTCAACATAGCAGGACGTACAAATAGGGGTTATACCAGGGTGTATAGAGGGAAAGCAAACGGTTGCCTTTCAATTCCCTGCCTCCAGAGCCTCGCCTAGGCTCCCGCAATCGGTGGGGCGAACCTCCCACAGAGGCCTTGGCGCGGATTACGGGTTGCAATCCCGCCTGCCGCCTTCCTCTCAGAACCGATAGACTAGACTTAGAGTTAGAAGGGCAGAAGGAGGTGGGTTTGAGACTCTCATATCCAAGGAGGGTGCTCTCAGACTCACAAGAGAGGGCCTCTTTATCTTCAGCGCCTAAGGGCCCCACAATGGCGGCCTAGTGCTCCGCAGCTTGGTCAAACCGAAGTCAGACTGCAATTGTTGGCCCTCTCGCCCCCTCGTCAATTCGCAACATTGACCTCTTACTCGATCGCATTTACTTCATAGCACTTGCAGCTCCAAGTGTGATGACCACCGGTACGTCCACAGGCTCGCGACCCGCCTCTGACCACTCCCCTCACCGGCCGAATAATGCATTTGCCAACAGTTTGGCCTACATCTCTCCTTACTATTCCAGCCACTGCAATGGACTTGCTTTGGTCGGCAAAATAAGTTTGTAGCCTCGGCCTCCCTTGGCTGCTGTTCTCTCGCCGGATACGACAAGCAGCATGACCGTCATTCGACAGATCTCCAGTTCGTAGTTCTGATGCAATTCCGTTCAACCGGCCAAACACCCTGTCAGGCTGCTTTCAGATACGCGGCCAGGCAGCTCTCCCCGCCTTGGTTTCGATTGCTCGAGAACGCAGCCTGTCGTCCCGCAGGTCCCCTCCAGCCTCGCTTCACTCCCCCTGGCCCTCTCAGGCGGCACGCCGGCCAACAGGTAGAACTGCAAGCCCGTGGTCGGCCTATACTCGCTTTGTTCTATCGCACGCCAACCAAGCAGGTAAGTCTTTTAATCCTGCAGCCTCCCCGTCACTTCTACTCGAATCCTCCCCTGCACTCACAGAGTCGTCGTCTGTCTGAGTGCCACACCGATCAAACAGGCAACCCCCTTGGTGAGTATGCGTTCACGCCTACCACCTTCAGAATGAACAAGGTCTAACTGAACCTTCCGCCTGAGCATGGCCACATACATCGGAGCCTCACTAACCGCCCTCCCCAGTCTTCCTTTCCCACTGCTGTCTTCATGCTACTGCCCGACGCAAAGTGCAGTATGAATCTTTTGCTAGAACATGGAAAGATACATTGCCATATTCAAGCCTCCTACCCCAACTTTGTCTCCTTTACCGTTGTTACCGTTCACCCCGTAACGCATCACTGCCCCGTACCTACCGACTGCACAAACCGAGGGTGAATCTTCCCCTAAAGCCCGGGAAGATACAGTACAGTTTTACGACGTACAACAGAGCTCGCCCCCGGTTCCGCCATAGCCTGACGCCCTTCCTACCCCTACTAACCACTTATCTTACTAACCCAGCGCCCCAACTAACTCTTCGAATCGACTCGCAGCCCCATAAACCCCCCGTGTAACATCTCGATTTGCCCGGTCCTATCAAGAACCGGCCGAACTTCGCAATCTCCAGCCCGCCATATCCATGACCACTACTCCTCTGCACAACACTTTCCTCCTAACCTCCCACCTACTAAGTATCTCCTAAAACTAATGCTACCATTACACTCGCAGCACCAACAAACCCCAAGAACGTGTCTTTAATCGCCCGTTTTCACCGAGAAACGGGCGAGGTCCGCGTTTCTAACTTTTCTTCCCCTTC